CTCCTACGCTCAACACCCCCCCCCCCCAAATGAAAGGCTGCGGCAAGAGCACCCTGATGATGACCCTCTTCCGCATGGTGGAGCCCTGCGGCGGCGCGATCTACATCGACGGCCTCGACATGTCCAAGATCGGCCTCACAGATCTCAGATCACGCCTCTCCCTCGTGCCCCAGGACCCCGTGATATTCAGCGGGTCCGTGCGGTCAAACCTCGACCCGTTCGGTCAGGCGCCGTCAGATGTCGTGATTTGGGAGGCGCTGAGGCAGGCGGGCATCGACGAGCTCGTGCGGTCCCTCGGGGTGAGCCGGCACGCGGCAGAGCGCGTTGATCCGCGCCTGTGGTTTGCTTGGATGTCGTTGTTGCACGGTGCCTCGCATGTTTATCAGGGATCATGGATGGGGACTGCCGCGGCTTCGCCCAAGTAGCTTGCGGTTTGGGTGGAGGCGGGACCTTGCAGGCCACACTCTCATGCACACGGAAATACACGATCGCTCTCTCTTTTTGTTGCACACACACACACACACACACAAACACACACACATACACACACACGTACAACCACACACACATACACACACACGTACAAACACACACACATACACACACACGTACACACACACTCACACACACTCACACACACACACACCTCTTGTGTGCGTGCGCGCAGTCCGGCCTGGACTCTTCCATCCAGGAGGGGGGCAACAACCTGTCTGCCGGCCAGAGGCAGCTGCTCTGCATGGCGCGCGCCCTGCTGCGCTCCAGCCGCATCCTCGTGCTCGACGAGGTGACGCCCTGTGTGTGTGTGTGTGCGTGCGTGCGTGTGTTGTTTGTGTGTATTCGTGTTTGCAAGCTTGCCTGCGCCCGCGCTCTTGCGCCCTGCGGCAGCACGTTGCCAGCCCCACCCCTCCCGGACTGACTGCAAGCGCACCGCCCGCGACCATCGGACCCAAACCACCACCAAACCATATCCGAACCAAGGTTCCCCCTCTAAAGCTCCTCCAATCGCTCTTCAAACACGCCCCCTCCGTCCACCAGGCGACCTCCAACGTGGACTCTGCGAGTGATGGCCTCATCCAGCGCACCATCCGTACCGCCTTTGCCGACTGCACCGTGCTCACCATCGCGCACCGCCTGCACACCATCGTCGACGCCGACAGAGTCATGGTGGGCAGGGGGGGCCCAGGGAGGGGGGGGGCTGGGCTTGGTGTGCCGTCACGCGTGCAGCGCTTGGCCTGTCCCGCCTGATGCCATTTCTCAAGCCCCGGCCTCGCGCCTTGGGTGACTTGACATTTGGGTCAACGGCCGTCTTTGCCCTTTTCAAAAGCGAATCCCTTGTCACCTGGCCCCCTTGAACCCTCTTCTTCGGCACTGCAATCAAATATGCAGCACAGTTTCGAACGGAAAGCCGGAAAGCCGTCGATTCCCGCACCCCAGTCTCTCAACTTTCAAGATCAGCGTGCTGACCATCGAATGAAAACCCCCCGAAACCGCCAGGTCCTGGATCAGGGGGAGCTCCTCGAGTTTGACAGCCCCGCGCGGCTGATGGGGCTGCCTGGCGGCATCTTCAGGGGTCTCGTGGAGGAGGCCAGCAGGTGGGGGCGGCCGCGGCTGGGGGAAGGGGGTGTGTGCATGTGTGCAGCCGCTTAATGACTTTGGGCGCAGCTGGGGGTTTCGGGGGGAAACAAGGGAGGGCCACCATCAAGGGCCAGGGCTGTTTGCTGTGGGGCCCAGGAAGGTAAAGGACTTGTCGCTGCCCGGGGGCCGTTGTCAGGGGACACAGCCGGCAGGGAGGCGGCCGGCCTGCCAGCGTGGGGCCGGCCGAGGGGTCTCGTCCCGCGCCGCGCGGCCCGTTCCTGGGCCATCCCACTGACCGGCGTCCGCCCGCACATCCGCTTGCGCACGCGCCTCGCCGCCGCCCTCGCCGCAGGCAGCACGCGGCCCCCAGCGACAAGTCTGACGAGGCGTCAGCGTGAGCGCCGGGTGGGCCGCGTGGGCCGTGCTGAGGACGCCGCCGCGCCCCTGTCGGGCAGAGGCAGCGGGGCGCACATCCAGTTAGTACCGCAGGGCGTCCTTGTTGTGGGCGTCTGGCATACAACGGTTTGTTGAATAGTAGGCTTGCCGGCGGCGCTCAAAACCCTTCGTTTCCTGCCAGACCCATTTGTTTCTCATCCCGACTTTGCGCGTGCGTCTCGTGCCTGCACACACCTGCCAGCGGCGCGCCGAGGCCTGTCTAAGGCCGATGCACGCTTTTTGAATCAGCCCCGTCGTATTTTTAGCATGCATCCGTCACCCGCCGCATGACAGAGGCGGCCGCGCGTCTTAGGGCCCCTTTTGTCGCCTCGCGACCATGCGCAACGGCCCGCCCCTAATCCCCGTGCGGGTGCCTGCCGCTGTCCGCGCCGCACAACTCGGGTCTGCGTGGCGGGGCGGGGCCGCGGCGCGCGCCGCCTCGCCGCCTCGCGGCACACATTGCTCATTTCGCCATGCGGTTTAGGGCCGTTTCTAAAAGCCCTCGCGACCGGCCATCCAAGCTGGCGGCCGCTGGCAGGGCGGCCCGCCCCTCCTTCCTTGAACTGGGCAAGCAGCCGACAGGCTTGCGATTTCGGCCCCCGACCCCTTTTGCAGAAACCAACCCCGCGCGCGCCCCCCGCCGCCCCCCGCCC